ACCCCGCCCCTCGCACTGTGACTGCTGGATATGGGCACCAGTGACCCACGCGACCCTGAAAAGGAAGAAGCGTGTACAGAAAATGGATGGATGGATGGAAACTATTTTTTTCTCATTTTCCTTTTTGTAGGAACTAAAGCACTCTTTTTCTCCTTTTTGCAAGAGCAGCCGCAGCAAGTGAACTCACAAAAGATTTGACAATTGTTTTACACTGGATGTCCTTCCTGATGCATCCTGGGATGGAACCACAGCAACTAATTAACAAACAAGAATAAAACTGAAAACTGTCTCAAAGCTGAGCTCTTTCTGTGGTATTGGTGTGTTTGTACCTGGTGTGATGTTGAGCTCGTTGCCAATTGCGAGACTCCACACACGTCCTCTGACACCAGGAGGAAGTCCCTGCCACCACAGCTCTCTGACCCGTCTCGTTCCCTTCCTGCACAAACAAACACACCCCAAGCTGTAGAAACACGTTCACACTGCTTTAATCAAGACTGCAGTCCGAGGACATACACGGTGTCCCAGTGAGGCAGGATCTCGTTGTTCCAGATGACCATGGCATTGGAGATGCTGTCCTCCTGTCGATGTCTCTCCTTCATCTGACGCTTCTTCTTCTGAGCTTCTTTCATCTCTGAGAGAGAAACAAACCATTTTGAAATTCACATTTTCTTTTTTTTAACCCATGTGGAAAAACTCTGTCCCACTTAGGTGCTGCATGCCTGTTTGATTAATCTAACTTATCAAGTTAAATCAAGGAATCTGGTTTTTATGGAATTTAAGTACAGTTAAAGTAAAAAAAAAACAAGCTTTCCAGGGTTTCAAATAGAAACGCATAACAAAAATGACTTGATCTTTACCTGCTTCTAAAATTGTTTAAACCTAACATTTAGTTAAGATAAAAACACAAGAAACTGAATGAAAAAGCTGGTCTGTGACAAACTAAGTCATCCTGGCTGCTTCCAGAGGATTTAAAGGGATTAACTGATCCTCATCAGTGTTAGCATCTTTGGAAAAGCAGAGGTTTGTCAGTTTGCTGCTCAGGAACAAACAGGTATGTGTTACAATGACTGGAAATAAAGACAGCTATTTGGAGTTCATCATTCTACAGACAGAAAGATTATTAGAAAATGGAAAATATTTAGGACAACTACTAATCAGCACGGTGGTGGAGGGCTGATGGTTTGGGTCTGTTCTGCAGCCACAGGACCTGGACACCTGGTAATCAATGAGTCGACCATGAACTCTTCTGTAGATCAAACGATTCTAGAGTCAAATGTGAGACTCTCTGTCTGATAACTGAAGCTTGGATCAAACTGGGTCATAATGCAACAGAACAACGATCCGAAACACAGCAGCTAATCTTCAACAGAATGACTAAAAACACTAATCCAAGGGTTGCAATTGTCCAGTCACAGTCAAGAACTCAGTCTGACTGAAAAGCTGTGATCAGATCTTAAGACAGCGGTGCAGAAAAAAATGTCTGCGACACAAAAAAAACCCCCACTAAAATAATATCAGAAATCAAAGTGGGACAAAATTATTCCACAATTATGTAAAAAACAGCAAAAGTTCCACAGAACCCCTGCTGACAGGCATCACTGCTAAAGGTTCTACAAGCTGCTGGATCAGAGACTGGACTTCACACACAACCTTTCCTCTTTGGTTTTGTTCTCTAAAAATGACAACAGAAACTCTCTGAGGTTAGATTTGAATAATATTTAAAACCTGGTAACAGTCAGTTCATTTTTATTTAGATCTTGAGATGTTAAAGCCTAAACCTGACAGTGGCTGGACTGAATGTCTTATTTTCTGTGGAGCGTTCAGTCCAGCCTTCATTACATCAGGTTTTCTTTTGTTCTAAGCAGCTAGATTGTCTTGTAATTTTAATTCATCCTGATTGATGGTTCTCCAAAGGTTTTGAAAGGTCTTTCAAAGTCTGTGTAAACTTAGATGTGTGTTTACCTCTCCTCTTGGCTCCTGCCACCATCTCTTCATACTCCAGTTTGTGTCTCTGAGTTTCCTCCACAGACTTGGCAGGCAGATTCCTGAAAAACAAACACAGATGAAGCATCAATCAGTCTGTTGGGTAGTTTGTTACCTCCTCTCAGGAGTTAAGCCCTGTGAACGGCTCCAGTTGGTCTCTTAATGAAGTGATAACTGAGAATCTGCTGGAAGATGTGCAGCTCTTTTAAGAAATCTGAAACATTTTGAAGTTGTAGCAAAAGGCTCAGTTTAAGTTACACCCAAAACAAAAATGTAGTGATTTATTCACTTTCCAGCCCAGAGGCATCTGTTAAAATCATTTTAGAACCTCTCTGTGAGAAACTGAGTTCAACAAGGTCATTCTGTCATGAAGATGTGGTTTTGTGCTACTCACACAGGTCGGTCCTCCAAGATGAGGGCTGTGGTAGACAGAGGCTCAAAATCCAGGTTCTTCCTTCTTCCTGCAGATGTGGGGCGCTGAGGACACGAGGACACATCAGAGTCCCTCACTTCCTCCTGTTGCAGACAATAAACAGAGATACCAGCTGTCACACAGATCCAGTAGAGTCTCTCAGTTCTGTCCCATGAGCTCCTCAAACTCATCCATCTCAGAGGAGGGAACTCCATTTCAGTGTAAAAAGTTACTCCAAGTTATTATGGGAGACTAACTGTAGGAACTAAAGCACCTGAATATTTCCTGTACTGTCTCCATCACAGTTTTCAGTTCACTGCTCCTCAAACATCTCTTAAAAAATCCAACAACAAAATACACTAAAACATGCAGCTTGGTCAGGAGTAGTGTGCTCTGACGTTTGGTAGTGGTAGACATCGATGCAATTCACATAATAACCGTTTCTGTATAGACAACAATAAAATTCTGTTGAACCAAGAGAGAAAACCCAGCCATGTTTGGAGCATTTTAATTCAGATTTCACTAAACTCTGAGCGGTCTAACCTTTAGCTAACAAACTCAACCTCACAAAGCTAACACTTCTGCACTTTCTAGATCATTTATCGTCAACGCAATACCAGCATGTGCAATAGGAATATTATCAAAAACTGCATAAACTGCAACAAAACGTTGGCTCAAATGTTCGCCTTTATGCATTTTGTTGATCACAATAAGCTTGAAGTATTTCACCAATCAAATAAAGCTGTTTACATATTTTTCCAGTCAGAAAGGTCTCCTTACATAAGATGCCTACCCCCTGAGTATCCATGGGTAAAAACAACTGAGCAGGTTTAGTGAGAGTCGCAATGGTTGAGAGCAAGATAAGTGAGGAAAATGTTACAAAGAACCTGTGGTTATATAAAGAAAGTCTTTTATTTGGAGATTTTTTTAAATAATTTATTTTGAAAAACCCAAGAATAAAGTATTTTCAGTATTTAGAACATCAGAAAATGTTTTATTAAGATGTTTTAAAGTCATTAAATTGTTTTGCATATGGTTTGTTGTTTCACTCCTAATACAGAAGCTGTGTCTAGGTGCATTTTTTATATAAAACTGTCATGTTATAAATTATGAGTTAGTTGTTTTTTTGCTCTGAACCAAGAACAGAAAAACATCAAAACTACACTTATTTCATTTGTTCATTTATCAAAATCATTGTCACTTTATTAAGCAGTTATCGCACATGGCAGGTTTTCTTTATATCGTAAAGCCCTATTTTACATCTTTTTTACAAAACATTAACGTCTTTTCAACAACCCGACACATGAACAGAGCTGTTATTCATCTCAGAGAGAACCGTCTGTATCAGAATAAAAGTGCATTTGTGAGTCCACGGGTGGCTTTATGTGTGCTCAGCCTGAATGAATGTAAATGTTTGTATCACAGTGAAAGTGTGAACTCGTGTGTGTGTGTGTGTGTGTGTGTGTGTGTGTGTGTGTGTGTGTGTGTGTGTGTGTG